CTGTTTAAGGGTATTTGGGCAGTTTATTCTCTGTTATATTCTCAAGCAAACAATACATACAAGTACAGTACAGTATTTTCTGAGGAAACACTCATACTTATTTTTTTTAACCCCATTCCCGATAACCCGGCATTTTCACAAACTCGGCCACCCTTCGGTCCACATTAGGCTGAGTTTTCGAGACTCTGCTGTATAATGTAAATAACTTTATAGTGCAAAGTCAGTCTAGTTTTAATTGTCTTCAATTATTGAGATTATGTATTTTTTATAACTTGTAAATATAATTTTACTTTACTTACAAAATTAATTAATTTTAAAAAATTTCAACAGTTGTCTAATATTTTAAAAAAATTTATTATCTCATTTACATTTAAAAACTTATTTAATGTAATTTTGAGAGAGATATTTTAAATTCACATCTGTATTTCTCTTGTTGTTTAAATTTCTTAAGAAGAATATTGTAAAATTTGAGTTAATTTAGCCATATAAATAAAACTTCTAAAGCTATAATCAATTATATATCTTAACTGTAAAATCAAGATGCATTTTTACAAACTAAAACAGTATAGAATTACAGTAAAATTTAAAGTTAGTTTTTATTGGTAAGAATTATATTTACAATATATTGAGCTATTTAATATAAAACTAATATATGCATATATTACGTTTGTATTAAGTATAATTCATGTATTAAAAGTATTTGATTTGCAAATTTTATAATTTCCTCCAATTACAATGCAATAGTGTATTTATTTATATATAAATTTATTGTGCTTTCTATGTTTTATCATATTTGATATTGTTAAATAATTTTTGTTCTTATCAAAATATTCATATGTATATCACATTAAAATAAAAATTGTATAATAAACAATCTCGAGTTTCTTCCATAGCTTCTTTAACTGTTTATTTGTCCAGACTGTTATTATTCATATTATTTTCTTTAGTGTTTTTAATATTTGAATTATATGGGAATTTTATTTGCCAAAATCAAAATCAGATATAATAGTACTAGGCAAATTTATTTAAGACCAATAGTCTTTTTTCAAAATTTAATGTTTTTGCATAGTAATACTTTCTAAATAGTATAAAGGAATGCATTTCTACAAACAAAAACAGTATAGAATTACAGTAAAATTTAAAGTTAGTTTTTACTGGTAAAGTAAAAATGTTATAGAATAAAAATTATTATAACATTTCTATTAAATGTTTGAATAGTAGATGATGATAGAAACTGAGCATTGTTTTTAAATGTTTCAGAAAATTATATTAATTTTTTATGATACATTTTAATAAAATATCTGTAAGATAATGAAACAAAAATTTTATCTGTTTCTGGCAAATTAATATTTTTAGTTAAATTCTAACGAGAGATTATGAGAATTTCAGTTAAATATGTATATTTTAGAAATTTATTTGTTAGTTTGAATTTGATTAAACTTTGATTGGAAAATTCAATAAATTATATTATATTATTATTATTCAGCAAGTTTGTGAGATATATTGTTGTTGTTGAAACATTCTAAGATTAAATATTAATAAAATTTTGCTCAATTTTATAAACTTGCATCCTATCTACACTATAATATTTTGGTAATGATTTTTAAATTTGTTGATTTGATTTTATATTTAATCAGTGTCAACATCATTGTAGTATTTTAGAGAATTGGCCTGGAAGAGGTGTTCAAATTCATGTTCTTTTCATGGGAAAAAAAAACATTCTTTCATACTTATTGCTAACAAATTCCATCCCTTCAATCTGGGACCATATAATTCAGCCTGTTTATTGGATAAGTTGCATCTGTGTACAAAACCATTTAATTTGGCTAGTTAACTAGATGGGAGTCAGTTAACAAAAAAGTGTGGATCTTTTTCTTTATCTTCAGTTGAAAGCTCAATACATGTATTGGAATTCACTTCATCATCATAATAAGCATTCCATGCCTCTAGTACAACAGGAACAGGGAGCTTAGTTTAGAGCTCCCTATTCCTGTTGTACCAGAGCCATGTAATCTTATAGCCAACAGAATGCCTGATCGTCACTGTTGTTCTGGCAATTTTGATCATGTAGAAGTAGCAATCCATGAAATGATTCCTTGATTCTCTCCAAATCTTGGTTACTCTGAATTTTATGGGACATACTCCTTTCAGCCACCTGGTTAACAAAAATAAAATCTATTGTAAATTAACTTTAAGGAAGTCTTATAACCATCACACAGCATAGGTACTTTGAAGTCTTATTATTAATATATTATTTAAATAATTGTATTTAATCAAAGTGATTTGTAGTGTAATTATGAATACAGAGGTTGATCTCTTATAAATAAGTGGAGCCTGATAGAAAATTCTGAGTTTAGATTTGGAATTTGAATCAGAATTAGTAGAAAATAGTCAAATTGTTTGTTTAATGAAATCTCTGTTAACCAAATTTTGTTAGTAATTCTATTATCTTTTATTTAGATCAGATTCAAAATTAAATAATTAATATAGTCTAGAAATAATTTGGAATGTAATCTTATAGTTTGGTAATTTGATTTAGGCTTTGATTGTAAGATAGTTTATTAACTATTGTACTTTAAATCTTTTGAATTCTTAAATTTTTTTCAATCAATCAACTATTTTTATTTGCATTAAGGCTAAGCCTTGTTACAGGGGGTATTTTTCCAATGATATATTAATATACATTTGTTATCTATCAATCGTTTGATATACATTATCTTCAAAATCATCAATAATATTACAATAACCGTTTAATAGTAAATTTTGTCGTTATTTATCTTTTAAATATTTTACTTTAAGTAACATAATTAGTAAAAAACAATTTTTTTAGTTTTATTAATTTATTATCATTTGATTAAAAATTTGATTATTTGATTGATCATTTGATTTGATTAAAAAAAATCATTAATTTTATACATTTGATTTAAATGATCAGATATGTCACAATTTAAAACTTGAATTTTTTACACGAGTCAGACAGCAATTCAGAACATATCTTAAGGTTTATTACTGAACTTCCAATATTCGCAACACAAGTAAATTCAGATGCATAGTCATTTTTTATTCTTCCATTTAAAATTATTAATTGTAGTTGTTGAGTATTTTTTATTAATTGAAGACCCAATCTGTTATGATTATTATCTTTTGTTTTTCGGTTAAAGTAGATATTAGATTATTTGGTCCTTTATATTCTGAATCTAATATCTGTGCAATTCTGGAGTTAAAATCACCAAATAATAATACATGTGGAGAGATATTTTTCCATTTTTCGAGATTTTTGAATATTTCATTTAGTAAGTCTATTTGGTCAAGCTGAACGTAAACTAACACTATAATAATTAACTTTTTGTATAAATGTTTCATTTCAGTATTATCAATTTCTAATGAGATTAAAATATAATTAGTTGCTTTTTGTATCAATTTTACGGAACCATTGTTTTTTCTTACTATTAGACAAAGTCCTCCATGCGGTCTTCCAGGTCCTATTGATTTCTGTGCGTCAGAAGATATAATTGTATATTCCATTCTATTTTTAATTTCATTAACTGGCGTGACTAGCCAGGTTTCAGTTATATCCAAGATATCAGTTTTATGTAGTAATTGAGAGAAATCTTGGGTTTTAATTTGTGGATTAAGCCTTGGCAGTTCCAATTTATGATATATAAGTTAAGATTATTTGAAATTTTAATATGTTGATCCTTTTCACATTATAACTCTAAATTATGTTATTGGGTTTTTCTGTAGAGAATACTTCAAAAAATCATCAGCATATACTAATTGATCTTGAATATAACTATATGTAATTTTTGACGATTAATTATCAGATAGTCATCACACAGTTTTAGTTGTAATCCTTGTTTCTTAAATTCTATATAATATTGTAAAAGTTTTTTCTTCTTTTGTGAGAATCTTTATTTAAATCAGTTGACATATTAATTTCTTGCTAATTTCCCAGTCTCTTATTATATTTCAATTTATTAAAGGCTGCAAGGATTCTATTTCTTAATAGGTTTGATTTTAATACTATGCACTTAATTTGAATATTTGAATTAGGTATTGAATATATATTTACCATATCTTCTGATTCACTGCAAATTATTTTTAAAGTATTAGAAAAAATGCTGCTAATTCATTTTTAGTAATATTTTTAAGCTGATTTGTAATATCATAAATTATAATTTTATTATTATTCATAGTATTAGTCATAGTATCCAGTTTATATTGAGTTAATTCACTTTCTAGTCTTAGTTTGTAAATTCATTTTTTATTTTATCATTTCTTATCCTTATTTGTTGAATTTGATCTTTAAATTCTTTAATTTCATTTTGAATTATATTTATTTCTTGTCTTATAAGTGAAAATTGACTCACTAGCTTATTACTATTAGTTATCAGTTCGACTATATTATTCCATAATTCTGTTGTTGAAATGTCTATTTCTTCCACAGGTAATTGTTCTTGTGAGGAAGTTAAATTAATTAGCTTACCTATTTGAAATGATGATTCGGCTCTTCTAGGTTCAGTATAATCAGTGATCAGGTTTGAATCTGGTTCCAATGGTTTGATACTATTAGACAGCAATTTTTGATGAGTAAGTGGTGGTCTTCCTCTCTTTGTTGGAATTTTCTGTAAGGGACCAGGATTTGGTTCTATTCCAGCAATCAATAACAATAAAACAAGAAGCTTAATATTATTCCTTTTAACCGAAAATATTTCAAAATTCTTCATTTCTTGAAAATTAGAGTAAGTATGGAAGTGGGAAAAAATTCACACCAACAGCTTTGAAGATCAGAGCGCCCCCGAAATCTTTTGAATTCTTTACTTCTTTGAAATGTGGAAGAATTGTAGATTAAGATATTGTAGATAAATAAATATTCTAAAGATTATTTATTAATAATAGGTATTAAAATTGTTTACACTATAGCTTAAATTTTATATTTGAATAATATATTAATATATTTTAAAATTATAATTTATATTTAATAATTTTTTTTCTCAAAGGTACAAATTTGAAAGGAAAAGCCCAGCTAAATTCTAATTCAAAAACTAATAAAACATTATTTTCATCTGCTTCACAATCTTTTCTAAATTTCACCACTAAGAAACTTAACAGTAAAGGTGCAGTTTCAAAGGCATCTAGTGTAGAAAACAAGGAATTTCCACATACATTAAATAAAGAGAGTTTTGTGAGTAAAACTTTCAATTCATCAAAAACTTCTCAAACATTTGGAGCAAATTCAACAGGGAAAGCTACTGGTGAATTTTGTTGTAAAAGGAAAGGAGTTTCTGTGTCTTCAAATAATATTGGTGCATCAGATAAGAAAAAATTGCAAAAATCAGAACAAAAATTACAGTCAAAGAATGATGACACAGTCATAAAAAATTTTAAAGCAAAAAGATTTTTTAGTTGCAGTGATAAAGGAAAGAACAAAAGTCTTGTAAACAGTAAAAAAACTTCCACTAGTAAATTATGTATTTCATATTCAAAAAATAAAAATGCTGAAGATAAAATAGATAAAGTTAAATATAAAAAAGATAATGAAAATAAAATCTGTGAAAAGGATAATGATCCAAATTTAACTCTTCAAAATCTGTGCAAAAGTGAACAAGACCATGCTGTTTCAAAAGAGGATTCTTTTTCTAATAATTATAATTTTACTAAATCTTTAAGTGATGATACTTCAACGAGACGACAAATTAAAGGTCGTCAAAATAATCCTGATATCAAATCTGATTCTGAATTATATGGAGATATTCACTTAAAATCTGTATTGAAAGTATTAAGAAGCAATCTTAGTCCAGAGGAGAAACTAAGTGCAATTAAATATAGTCACGATTACTGGCAGAAAATTAAAAATGGAGAAATAGCATGTGACGATTTAGATAAGTTTACTGAGAATATAACATTAAAATCTTTAACTAATTCTGTTAGAAGGAAGAAATTTGATAGGTTAACTACAGATCATGAAATATTTGCCAAATCAAATATTAAAGAAAAATGTACAAAAACTGGAATGAAAACATTAAATAAAATGACTAGTTTACCAGTATGTTTGAATATGCCTAAAAGTAATTCTGAACAAATTGCATTATCAAGTAAATTAGAAGAAGAAATATTGGTTACTCAGTTGGAAAATGAACATGTTGAAAATTCTGCTTGTAATATCTCTGTTAATGTTTCTGAAAGTGCACAATTAGCAAAAGGTAAATATTTTTCAAAAATATCATATCTATAAACTTTTTTTAAGTTTTAAGATCATCTTCATTTATTCAATTAACACAGTATATATAAAATCTAAATATAAACTTATTTGTTTAGTATAATATTCAATAATATAATTTGAATATAACAATAATTGAAAAAGTTATTCAATAAAAATTAACACACTTAATTTCAATTATAGAACTTGATCATAAAATCAGTTTTAATAAATTTAAATATAAGATGTAAACAATAATAATATTTAAGAAATATCAATTTTAAAGTTAATATATACAGTCAAACTTCTAAATCTTGAATTTGAAGGGACTAAAAAAATGGTCAAGTTTGAGTTATGGAAAGTTCCACATAATTTGAAGTATATAAAGAATAGAAAATTTTTTATTCAAGCACAATGTGTGACTGAATTACAGTATATTACATTAACCTAAATGTGTAATCTACAGCATTAATGAAACTAAACATTTCCAGTAAAAGCAAGTTCTAGGAATTAATAATAATAATTATTCAGGCCAATGTTAGCCTATTTATAGATAAATATATTCAATATTTCGCTAACAAGTTTCAACTTTTACAAAGCCAGTTTTTGTAATATAAGTAGTCGATGTATTTTTGGAATTTACCTTTTAGTTCAAGAACCATTTTTCAATTTTTACAATATTTTTGCCTCTGTGTTCTCTTTTTGCTATCATTCTAAGATTTTTGCTTTGTTATTTGACAGAGGAAGATGAACATACAGTAGAGTCCCAAAAACTTGGCCTAATGTGGACCAAAGGGTGGCCGAGTTTGTGAAAATGCCGGATTATCGGGAATGGGGTTAAAAAAGAATAAGTATGAGTGTTTCCTCAGAAAATACTGTACTGTACTTGTATGTATTGTTTGCTTGAGAATATAACTGAGAATAAACTGCCCAAATACCCTTAAACAAAGGAAAAGTACGTACTTTATGAAGACATAGAGCCTTACTACATGAAAATTTACTACATGAAAATGAAAATTAATTAATACACAGTGTACAGTAATTTACCTGATAAGACAGAACTCAGAAAAATACTTTATGAGACATAAAGCTGTCTATAATGAAAATTAACTAGGAGTTTTTTCGCCCTGCCAGGGTGTGGCCAAGTTATTCGGACTGCCAGGTTATCGAGTGCCAAGTTTTCAGGACTCTAATGTATTAATTTGTGATATTTTGTGATGAACACATTTTATGATACACATTATTGTGTATCATAAACTGTTTTGTTTGAGTAAATTTCTTCCAACAGAATCACTTCTGTTGTCCTATGCTCTTGCATTCGTTTGTTGTGTACATCATTTATTAGTGAAAAACTGAAAATCAGGAGAATAATGAAATGAAATGCAATGCAGATATCATAGATGATTTACAGATTTCATGCTGCCCAACTTTTTTCTACTCTCTTGTTTTGTTTGTTTGGTTTTTTTTTTTTTTTGTGATAAAACTAGTTAGGCTACATCCTATGTGGCAACATCCAGCGACTGCGGGCGTGAACATGCTTGCATGCAGAGCAGACAAACTGATTCAAGCAAATGTGCATGTCCATAATAACCGCGTTTAGCATGCAGCGACCACCAGATAACATTTCTACACACACGCGCAGGAAGCTGCTACCAAGCAAGTTTGATTGCCATTTCCACTGCTCACACTTCCAAGGAAGAAAATGGCTGATTTTGTAGATAAATAAAAACAGAATGATAAATAAATTGTGTATATATGTTGTATGTACTTTAATTAATAATCTTCTACATAATTTAATAATTTCTGATTTTGTATAAATGTAACGTTTTAAAAATAAAACTTTTTTTTAACTTATTATTTTATATTCTTTATATTTGTTGTGTATCTAGTTAGTGGTAACATTTATCTTTCAAATTTACCATTTTAATGCTTATCATATTTTCCATAGTAGCATTTGACAAAGTCTTCTTGCCGCCATTTTGTAAACAACATGCATCCACTCTAGACAGAAGCCGCTTGTGAGTTGGAAGCACTTAAAAAGATTTTTTTCACCTGCAATCGCTGGACACTGCTATGTAGGACATAGTGTTATGGAATCATTGAATGTTTTTTATTTTTTTTAACTGCCAAAAATTTCACTAAATACTTTACTACTGACTAACTTGCCCCACTAAAAGTTGTTTTCACTAAATTTTAATACTCTACAAGATCTGATGGGTTTTCCAACTAAACTGGCAACTGTGGTCATGAACAAAGAATATATTGCTTGGTAAAGTGGCTTCAGTACAGCTCAGTGTTTCCCAACGTGGGGCCCACTCCCCACAAGGGGGCAATTCGATTGTTAAGGGGGGCAATTTGAAAATGAGTTGTTGACCTTTTTATTTTTTTTTTTAGGCATCAGAATTTTTCATTGAGCTATTCGGACTTGAGTAGCTAATATTGGAAGATTAATCGCGGGCCACATAAATTCATTAGACAGGCCATATGTTGGCCATGCCTGGTATAGCCACTGTATATGTTAGGGGGACATGAGAATTTTAGAAAGGCTTAGGTGGGGCATAGCACAAAAGAGGTTGGGAAACACTGGTACAGCTGGATAAACAAGTTTAATTTGAAACAGACTGTCATTGGCTTGCTTATCCAGCTGTGTTAAAGCTGCTTTACCACAAAATGCACCAAAAGGATTCACAGAGCTTAATTGGTTGGTCAGCATCTGCTGAGTTTGACAAGAAAGGTCAGTGTGGAGATACATGAAAATTTGTTTAACTTTAAAGAGTGGGAAAATACATTATATTATATAGTATATTTATAAGACCAACAATCCAATTTAATTTAAGGAGAGATTCAAGATTAGAGGTTTTACTGTATTTATTCCTTAAATGTTAAAAAAAAAACTCTTTTTCTTAAACTATAATTCATGTTTTTTATAGTTTCTGAAAATAAATATTTTTTGAAAATATTTCAAAATTAAATACCATGTTGTCTTATATAAGATGATCATTTTTTTTATTTCATTTGATGATTATTATAAGTTAGAAATGATGCTGCTTTATTATAATGTATCACAATACAGGATGTCCATAATTATCTGTACTTTAAACATCAATCAAAAATCAGGAATGGGAATATTTTAATCATTTTCACATGAAACTTTGAGATCAAGCTGTTTTAACAAATATTTAATTAAGTGGTATCTGATTTTTGTGTTGAAATTTGAAATATACAGAGTAGCAATAAATTATATTTATTGATACTCTGTACATTACAACAATAAAATATTTTTTATTACTACAGTATATTTTACAAAACTAATAAACTTTCAAGCTTGTTCAGTATTATATGATTAAAAATTGTATGTATACAAAGTAGTACATTTTAGATTTTGTTTGTGCAGTAAACAGATGCTACACTATATATAATTTTCATAGATTTGTTTAATATCATAAATTTAAGTTAAAGTTATTCATTTAAATGATTAACATGTTGATTATTTTTTAAGATACAAATAAAGTTCTAATTTTAATCATAATTTTATAATCTAGGAACTCCACCACCAAAATCACCTGTAACTATTCAAGATTGGGTGAACTCCATTGATTTGACAACAGGAGATGAAAGGTATTTAAAATTATAATATTACATATTAGCAAAAAGAAAGAAGAAACCATTAATCATTAATTCCATACAAAAATAATTTTTAACAATATATGACATTATTGGCATAGTATTATAGCTTGGAGACAGATAGTACATAAGAGGACAAATATACAGCAACTGTAGCTAATTCTATCATTAAACAGCAATAATATAACTGTAGCTATTTTGACAAATAGCTACAGTTATATTATTGCTGTTTAATGACAGAATTATAATAAACTGTGGTTTCTTAGTAAAGTTATGAACATATTTTCCAGTATATACAACTTGAGCAGAGTAACTGTATATTTTATATAATAAGCTAACTATCATATGCATCTGTAGATCAAAATTTTAGCCACTGGAATAAAAATGGAACAGATTGTTTTGACTGATAAGGGGACAGTGTGACATTGGAGTTATCAATTTTAATTAAACTTGGCATAGATATAGTGCATTCCCTGCGACTGACATGTGCCAAGCAGCAAGACACACTACTCAAAATTAAACAGGAAAATTGAAGTTGAAAATTGCACAATCATTAAAACCTTCAGAATTTCTACCATGGGATATGCCAATTTCTTAATCAGGAAGTTGGTGTTTCAAATTTGTCAGTATCAATGTGATTTTTTTTTTTTTTTAATAAAACTATAATTTTCACTCTATTCTTGGTATTTTTAAATTTATTATATTGTCAGAGAGAAAAACTGATTTATTTTTCAGAAAACTACAAATGTACAGTACAATAAACAGGGTAACAAAACAATAAAATCAACCCATTTCAGGTAACAAGTCAATGTCAAAAGCAATATTTATTTAAAAACAAAACTTTTTTGCATATTTATTTACATACATACAATCACCCCCCCATAACTCTGTTGATAATTCTGTTTTATATGAATTCCATGTTGTACGAGTCACTTAGATTTTACAAACACCTGTGTCAGGCTGTGAACAGCTCATGTATTTGTAAAAGTTAAATGACTCGTACAACATGGAATTCATATAACATGGAATAATCAACAGTGTTATAGGGGGGTCGACTTTACTCTGGCAACAGTCATTTTGTAATTGAAAATTATACCATCAAAATGTACGTCTATATGTCGGCTATGTGATATTTATTTTTTATAAGAAAATCAGAACTTTATAAAACAACAACAGAATTGTTCATAATTAATAGAGTAGCACTGAGAAATTTTATCTTGAAAAGTTGTAGTAAAATTACATTCTATGTTATCAATTAATGATGATATATTAATAGAATTAATTGAAAAATAAACTACACCGATATAAATCCAGCAACATTTAATAAAATAAAAACGTTTTCAATCGTTTTTCAACGATCATCATCAGTTACTAAAAATAGAACACTAAATATAGAACAAAATGCGTTCGAAATAAATACAAAAATAAAAAATTAACGGAAAACGCCCTGGTGGACGAATTAATGAAAAATTAATGAAAAATTAACAAATAAATAGTGAAAAATTAATAATTATAAAAGGATCTCCACGCAGTGGACAATGAGTCGGCGTCCCTATGGTTTATACAACCGGTTTTCATGTGCGCCTTATAGATTTCCAATTTCTCTAGATGTTTGATCGTTTGCCGATTAGTTGTCGTTTTTATAATTGATGCCTGATCCCATAGAACATTTATATCTTGTTGTTTTGCGTATGATGCTAACACAGTGTTATCAAGGTTCTTATCGATAGTGTACTTATGTTCCTTGAGCCTTTTCTTCAGACCGCGCATCGTCGCACCCACGTAAACTAGCCTGGAATCGAAACGCTGATCATGTAAAGGCACTGAATATATACCCGTTGTTGAATTCCGATCCTCTTTCTTTTTGTCGTTTCTCAATAGTTTGAAAATAGTGGGATTGCGCCTGTATACAATGTGTAAGTTATTAGACTTGGCAGTAGATGTGTGT